ATTCTCAATTATGCAAAAAAAAAAGAGTGGATTCTGTATAACCAGAATATAAGGTGTCTCGAAGAAGTAGGGCGATATGGCAAAGGGCTCACTCATAATCAAAACAAAAGGCCAAGGGAATAGGATTTCATTTATGACTTAACAATGTATAAAACTATAGAAATGAGCTCTAGCTCCTATTGATAATTATCAAACATGCGAAAGCAAAAGCGAATAGACAATCCAAAGCTCATGGAAATGGAGTCAATTTTGAAATGGATAGTCATAAACCAGAAGGGAACATGTATGCTCATGTTAAGTAATTGCAAATTCACAGAAGATAGAGCTATCGAAAACTATACAGTGTATAAACACAATTAGAAGAATCTACCATTAGGGGAATGAAAAAAATGCAGAGAACAAGGAGAATATAGTACTAAAAGAGAAGTCGTACATGAACAACTGCCAAAGGACAATGGAAACAGGAGTAAGATAACAATTATGTTACATATAATATCTTCAAACTTGTTTTAAAGCTACAAGTATCCTATTATGAAGTGAGTAATACTCTAGCCCCTAGCACAAATTGTACTTGACAGGACAAAGTCATGAAAAAACTTCAAATGTCAACCAGAGTAGTTAGGGAATGTCTTATGGAGAGAGCAGGAAAGCATTTCTATTTCGGAGGCTCCTGCGATAAGGGATCAAGTAAAGTGGTGACCTTGATCAAGATACATAGATGTAAAGAGAAGTTTAAGAGACCATATAGACCAACCACAATACATCACTTGTCTCCAGAAGTTTTCCCATCTACTTGTTTAAACTTGATTAATTAGTCTTAAAAATTGAATTAGTTATCATTTGTTAGTAATCTAATCACCAACTCATCCTCCTCTGTTATGCTTCGAATGGCACAAGGTATGTGACATAAGTCTTTAAACATAGGATATGCCATAAAACTACCAATTCCTTAAGAAACAATAGCACAAAAATACTAAAACACTGAGAAGAAACAGAACACAGTCGCGTACACATACAGTGTGAAAGCTTATAACACGAGAAAAATATCATGGATAGTATAATGACAACAAATGTAGCCCCATTTACGAGGTTGTAATGTTACCATTTAATAATCTAGCTTAACATGGGGCTGACAACACTTGACGAACAAAGATCACCAATGCACTGACATATATTTCTTCAATGAAAAACAAATAAATCGCAAAGTATAATAACAACAACAGAATCTTACCTGCTCACATAATTCTGAGTAATAGCAATAGAATCTTCAAGATTAATCACCAAATGCCACCATCCATTAGGCACAAAAACCACATCCCCGGCCTTGCACACACACTCAACAGGCCTCCTCTTCCAATCCTTGCATGCCCCATAAAAATTCATAAACCACTCCATAATAGACACCGGGCATGCAACCTCCGCCCCATCCGGGCTCGGATGCACACCCGGAGGAACAACCTCCGGCGGGAACATCACCCACTTCTTCGACCCCTTGATCACCGCATTCCAAGCCGAAGTAGAATTCGGGTCCACATGAAACGATGAGCCCGAACCAGCTGGCCCAATTATAACCCACCTAAAGTCCGGCCTCTCCTCCCCCAAAACCGAGAACAAATCTTCCCTAAAGTAAATCGGAACCTCATAATCAAACCCTAGTTCAGGAACTTTCTCGACAAACTTAGGATCAAACAGATAAAGCGGCCGCTCCTCCTTCGCAAGATCCGAGTAATGAAAAAACCTATCGAGCTTCATCTCCACGGGCCCTACAGAAAAACTAGCATCCCCACAAACCCTGATCAAACTCTCCTTACTCCACTTCTTCATCGCCGGCCAGCCATCAACGCAACCTTCAAGAAGAACCGGCTTGTTCGGCTCCTCAAAGCAGGAAACAAACTCCTCCACTGAAATCCCTTTCCTTCTCTGAATATTATCTCTCTCAAGCCATTCCGGCTTCATTTCGAGATTGGCACAGAGCCAGCTTTGAAACAGATAATCCGAGTAAAAGTTCCCAATTTTGAGCCCAGAGCACGGAATCGATTCACAATTTAGCGAAGCAATGTAAGTGGATCGCCACGACCCGGCGAAAAAGAACGCACCTTTGAGGCGATCGAGGACGAAGTTTCGCCAGGGTCGTGGGTGGCGAAGACGTAGAGGGATTTGCTGGCGGCGGAGAGGAGAGCTAGGGTTTTGGGGGTCGAGGAGGGCGAGGAGGTCGGGGATGAGGTCGTCGGGGATGATTTGGAGGGAGCCGAGGCCGGGGTTGCGGATGTTGGTGGAATTTGAGAGGTAGAGGTTGCCGAGGGGCTGGATCGCTAGGGTTTGGGAGGGGGTTGATGAGGGTTTCAGCTTAAACCCTAGTTCTCCGATTTCTTCTTCTTCTTCGGATTCTTGTGGCTGTTGTTGGATTTGGGGGTTTAGGGTTTGGGGGGATTTAGGCGTTTGTTTCTTGTTTTTCTTGTTTTTCATCTTCTTTTTGTTGATTTTGGGTTTTTTGATGAGAATGGCGGAATGCAGTGGGCATTCTTCGACGGGAGAGGAGAGCAGCAGCAGAGGGGGATGGTCGAAGAAGCTTTTATATTATATATATATATATATATATATATATAGCAAAACTTCTGTCAACTTAAGTGGACGTCCACTAAGTTTTTATTATCCATTGATGATCACTTAATTGAGCTACATTGTGGATAATCCGTTCCGTTCAACTTGATCTACATATTCTAAAACCCCAACACACCAAATTTGGGGATGAACCCGTCGTAGTTTGACCCTTTATCCACTTGTATCAATTTTAACGCGTTTCGAGTGAATAGAACTTTTTACATGGGCTCGACGGAGGGTCAAACCACGACGGTTCACACCAAATTTGGTGTTGGGGTTTTAGAATATGTAGATCAAGTTGAACGGAACGGATTATCCACAATGTAGGCTCAATTAAGTGATCATCAATGGATAAGAAACTTATGTGGACGTCCACTTAAGTTGACAGAAGTTTGCTCTTAATATAATATATAATATATATATATATATTATATATATATATAATTATTAGTCAGATGGCATGTCCAATGTACGTGGTTGAATATCATAATTATTTAAATTGATAAAATATAATAAAATTAAAAAAATAAATATTTTTGTGGAATTTATCATCAACTCAATCATCTCTCTCAAATAAAATATTCTCATTGTTTTCTTCAACTTAGACTGTGCTCACGTTATCTACTATTTTTGAGTTATAAATACATTAATCTAATACAACATCTCTGTTTATTATTATCTTGAAGTCTTCAAAAGATGAGTGATCATTCAATTAGCAAAGGAATTTTACATATGAATTATTTGCAATATGTCCATTAAACTTTTAGTTGTGGTTTGACTCATATTCACATTAAATTTTAGTTGCAGTTTCTCTATATTTACATTATCTAATATTCTTATTCAATTTTATAACTCATTCTCCACATCATAGAAGAAAAACAGAATGTGTGTAGAATTATTTTCTTACAAAAGTAGAGCATGAAAATTATGATATATTCCTTCATGTGCTCTAAATATAAAAATTTCTTTTTTCTTTGATGCAATGTCCTTATCAAATCTTGCCCCAAACGATGTGAATAAAAAATATTATTATAACTCACTTACCTAGGGCAATTGTATTGTATATAAGACATATAACTCATTTGAAATATTCACATCTGCTAAGTGGATTTTGTTGTTGTGAGAGCAAAATGTTAGAGGCTCGCTCAAACTTTTTGGCTCTAGAAAAGACACAAGAATTTAGAGTGCATACTTATATATCGTAAAGAACATACTTGTAAAACCCTCGAAAATTTGAATATTATATGAAAAATAAAAAATATGTTATATGATGAAAAATAACATATTTTGATGTTTGACTATGATAATAATTGATTTGAGATCAATTCAATGTATATTTGTAAATATATGAGTGCAAATGTACAAAACATGCACGAAGAGAAATCTGAAAAAATAACAAGTTAAGTGTTTATATGTTTTATACATCGATGCAGTTTGAATCTGGAAAATCTCAAAAGATTAAAGTTGTAGGTTTCTTCAACATCTTTCCAACAAATCTTATATCACCTCATTCTGAGGTCGGATGAGAACGTTACAGCCAAAATATCAAATGTTAATTTTCCAGTCAGACTAGGTTTCCTGGTTCGGGTCAAATGGGTTTATTTTGGGTTTGCATATATATATATATATATATATATAAAAAGTTAGGATTTTTAGTGTTTGGCGATAGGGTAATCACTTGTTGTTCTTTTCAGAGGCTTGTACACGTGCAAAGGCAAGATCACCTCTGTCCAAACCTTTCTCTTGAATAAAAATCATGTTTTTAAGAGATTTATATGTTTAACTTTATGTTTAGGGTTTAAATCTAATGTTAAACATGTTACATGTGATGTTTATGATTAAATCTTATGTCGAGAACAGTAGAACGAATCTGAAACTAAGATATTGGCATGATCATGATCATTAGGGTTTATTTTAAAGAGTTAATTATAGTTTAATAAAGTTTATATGCTTTAGATTGTCGAAATAAACAAGAATTAGATTGTTTTGTATGTTAAACCCTAGATCTATGTGTTCATGTGATTCATCTTATTTAAACAAACTTCTAGTTAAGTATACATGACAATGGAATCAAGTTTTATTCATATAATCTGATAAAACCCCAAGTTTTTGAAGAAAACATGAGAGAAGAACAAACTGTGCATTTTCAGCATGTTCAGTCGACTGAAGTTGCCATCAATCGACTGACGGGAGGTCGATCGACTGATCAGGTTGGTTTTTGTGAGATTGAACATTTTGCTTGTGTGTCCATTTGGTGAGCATTTTTGTGCAAGATGTGAGCTGATATTCACGCATAGTTCGAGGAGTACACGTACGGGGATTGAGTACACATGATTGCATTGTTTGGGGTATCCAAATAGGTTACAATAGTTAACAGTAACGGCTATTATTATATATATTATAATTATGATCGGTTAGGTGGGGTTAGTCATGTCTCGCAATTAGATCGCGGATGGACTATACTCCGAGTGCTTTAGTCGGGTCTTGCAATGAGACTGCAGATGGACTACACTTCTTTATCAGTCCGCATGGAGATACGCAGATGTTGATATACCTATCTATTGGTCCGCATGGAGATGCGCAGTGGTTGAAATACTTATCTATCGGTCTGCACGAAGATGTGCAGAGGTTGATATACCTAACTATCGGTCCGCACGACGATACGCAGAGATTGATATATCTAACTATCGGTCCGCATGGTTATGCGATGAGTTATTATACTTAGTTACCGGTCCACACGGGAGTGTGATAAATTGACATACCTAGTTATTGGTCCGTACGGGAGTGTAATGAAATGACATATCAAATTACCGGTCCGCACAGGGTGCGATGAGTTGAAGTATTCCAGAGAAGGACGATTTGATAAATAACCTAAGTGTAGGTGAATATTGACATCATCGATATGATCCATTGTGAAGGTATTTCACAACTTAGTTACACAAGATAGTATATATCGATATCTGTTTTACCCACTAAGGGTAGTATGAGGAGTTGACATGACATTTTTGAAGATGTATGATGTGGTATTTCCTGTATTATCTTTCTTGTATTCATTTATTCTTAGTTTTGGAGTTAATATTTAGCGATTCACAATTTAACACATATGGTATATATATGAGGGTTTCCTTGTTTGGATTATTTCGCTTGATGTACCAGTCTTGTGTTGTGAGTTTCTAAGTATTAACCCTAGTTTAGTACAGGGTAAATGAACTAGGTAGACTATGCACTTATAGGTAGAGCCTCCATCATACCTAGTAGCCATTCTCTTGGGGGTGGATGGAGATGATTTTGCTAACGCTCTGACGTTGTGGTTTTTACTTCTTTTCAGGCAGCGGAGCAGAGTTTCGGAGAGCCGTAGGTTGACAGATTTTTAGTATAGTCGTCGTCATATATGTTTAGTAGTTCTGTTCCACAGATGTTTAGTTTATATTTCTAGTTGATGTTTAGATTTGTATTATATTTTGAGAGCTGAAAAAGCTTATGTACTTTTCAGTTGACTCTTGTAGTTGAGATTTTGGATCATTTATTTCAGATTGTTGGACATATTTTCTTTTATATCTGTTGAGGACTGATTATTTGGAGATTTATCAAATATTTTTGTGTTCTATTTTTTGTCTTCATCTCTTTTATATCTGCTTGTACCTGTACTGTCTTATTTGTTTCCACTAGAGGGATATTTTTATGATGATGAAACATGTCATTGCATAGTATAGGTGCATGGCAGGTTTGACATCCTTAGTTTTACCTTGGACTGTAGCCTTGTGTGAACCCGGGGGCGTCACAGTACCGGTTCATGAAACATTTTCTCTAATAACGATATTATTACAACAATATTACTATTTAGTATTAAATCAATTTTATTATATAAGATTATATGACCTTTTTTAACGATATTATTACAATGATATTACTATTTAGTATTAAATCAATTTTATTATATAAGATTATGTGACCCTTTAAATAAATTATAAAGTATATATATAGAAACCTCAATGCTTATAGCCAGTAGTTGTGCTCTATAAAATAGATTAACTTTACATTGTGGTTTTGTTATTGGTAGTATGTTACCAATGTCATTACCTTTCCTTTTTATCTTATTATTCATGTTTTTTTTATGTAAGTTCTCTTTCACTAATCACTCAATTGACTATAATTAGTTTTTATAATATCAGAGGTTAAGTGTTGACATGATTTTCTTAAAAAATATATACACATAGTAGCAATAGTATATACTTCAGTTCAACTCAAATATTAGCTTGAAGCCATTTAGAGTGAGGTCTTTTCTATGCTAGAATGGTGATATAGTGATTACATAATACAAAAGTCAAAGAAGAAATTTACAAATGAAAATTAATTCAATATGTTAAATTAATAATTAATTTATAAAATATACATGAACAGTGTAGATAGCTATAGAAAGTAAGGTATATATCTTCATGAAAATTCAATAATGAGTGACCAACTACAATAATCCTAATTTAAGGATAAATAATTATTATTTTAGTTACTAATTTGATAGGCATAACTATGAAATAAATCTCAAGTAAAAAAATAAGAATTTAGATTGTATTATCCTGTAGGTAAATAAATAAATATTATTAGATCTCCTCTTTATATTAAATTTAAAAGTAATAATTTAAATTATTAAGCGTCAAATATTAGTTCATGTGAGAAAGTAAAGTAATTATGGTCTATATACCTATATAGTCTATCAATCAAAGGTATTAAAATTATAATGACCACAGATAAAATTATATGGTGGGTTCACATTAAACATAATATATATAAAAATAGTACATTAAAGTTAAAATCATTTTAACCACTATATAGATCGTCTGAAAATTTTTGTATATATGAACTATACTGTCTAGGAATAGTGATGTGTATACATAACTATGACCTAATATATTTTAAGAACGACTTACTTTTTAACATCATCATTAATTGACGT